CTTTAAAATATAAACTTCATATTTTTTCGGTTTGTTAAAAAACAGCTAAATTTAGTAAAATTACCAATACCAGTCTTTGGGGTCTGAGCATGACCATATTTTATTCAAAAAGTCTCTTTCTTTTTTTCGATTTAAATACTAGCATAAATACTCTGTTAAGTTTGTTTTCATACAAATCAAACTGAGATAAAAGTTCATTAACCTTTTTTCAAATTATTATTAATAAAAAAGTAAATAAACTTAAATTAAGATATATTCAAACATTTAATTTAATCATCTTTTCATCCAAAAGCCATACTTCTTCAAAAATAATTATTTACTATTTATTTTTTAAAGGAATTTAGATTTTTTTAAGTAAATAAAGTTTTGCTTTTAAACATTACATTAGCAAACATTTCTCTGTAAATGAATTTAATTACTAACAATTTTGAAAAAAGTCTATAAGCAAGCAAGATACATTGAAAATTTAGTTTTGAAAAGAGATTGTTTAAATTTTATATGCTATATGTTATGTTTGTATTTGAAAAGAAAAGAAAAACTTTAGCTAAATAAAAATTAGGAGAGACAGACATGACTTTCGGCCAACAGTTGAATATTTGTTTTACAAATTTAAGTATATTTTATTTAAATTAATTTTCGAAAAATAAGGCTCACTATAGGTTTTTGTGTTAATAAAATTTAATTGAAAATTATTTACTTTTTTTTATGTTAATTACAAACCAAAAAAAAACATTGAAATTTTTTTTTTAAGATTAAATAAAAAAAATTATTTTCCATAAGATGGCCGAAAAATATTAGTAAGTCAATAATACACACACATATAAACAACTGCCCTTTAGGGTGATACTGAGTCTGTATATCCAGACAAACCTCTCATCAATGGATTAATAGGAGTCCGTTAAAGCCGATCATCTGTAGATGGGAAGGGATTATTTTTGAGTTATAAAACCACTAGATATATTAAGCAAAATAGCAAAAATAATAGATTTCCCACAGCTACTTTTTCACGCACGCGCTAATGTATCGTACTTTCCGTCTTTGTTTACAACTAAAAAGCCCGCCACCGTCACCAAGTGGTCACTTTGAGAACTAATACGACTCGTTCTGCTAAGCCCGGATTTTTTTAAGTACATCATTGACGATTTAAAAGTCTTTTTACCTGGAGATTATTTTTTATTTTCCCTACAGATTTTGTCTGTTGCATCCGAAGTCTGTTGATGGTTGGTTTGTCTGTATATTTATTTTGTAGCTGAACACACACACACACACACACACACACACACACACACACACACACACACACAATCAAGTAAATATAAACTTTTTCAAATAATTGTATTTAATTTTCTTCTTTTAAATTTACTTTTTTGATTTAATATTCATTTTTTTAAAGTTACGCTTTTATTTACTATAGATGGGAAAATAAATTCAAGAGGATAGAATTTTTTTAAATACATACTTGATAGTGTTTAGCAGAATAAAAAGTAAAGATAAACGGTAATCCGAGAATAAGAAATCTTACCGTTCGTTTTTACTTTTTAATTCTGAGAATTTTGAATGCATTCTAATGCATTTTAATTTTAAAACATCTTCGTAAATACAAATCATACGATGATAATTTTTTTACTAAAAAACTAGCATGGGTGATAATGTGTCTGTATACATATTTACTTTGGCATACATACAGAAAACTACCTGTTATATATATATATATATATATATATATATATATATATATATATTTCTCTCTCTCTCTCTCTCTCTCTCTCTCTCTCTATGTATATATATATATATATATATATATATATTGTTTACGTTTATATATATATATATATATATATATATATATATATATATATTATATAGTTTATTTCAGATACGAAACCGAGCAGATATATGCTTTCAAAGAAATTTGACCGAGAGCATGTGCATTCTTCTTAAAGTGTAATTGAAACTTGCTGGACTGTGGCCGAGAAGTTTAACGGCGGTTTCTATTACAAGGGTTGGCGTTGATTCGAACCCTACTGGGGGGCACATTTGCTTTATTAAGTCTTTCAAATGGGTAGGCCAGAAGACGTAATTCAAACCTTTAAAAAATCGAGTCGTCTACTTAAACATCAGTATCCAAGAACATTCGGGGAGATAGAATTTTTACTCTAGAAAACGCCAACTCAAATTCCAGCTGTGTTCCTTTCGCAGGGCTCTGAATAAACGTTACCACTCTATAGGCATCACGCAACTACATCTTAAGCAGACAAGCAACACAAACAACACTCAACAACAAACCCCACGAAAATGGAAGTGACCGAAAGCGCTTGGGGTAATAAACACTACATTTGTATACTCTCTTATCCTCGACAAACGGGAAATATGTAAGAATATTAGAAAAACTAAATGAAAAAAACAATCAAATATTCCTTGTCTGTCATATTCAACGAAACATATTTGAAAGAAATGTGCTGCCCAAATTATTTATATCAATTATTTGCTCAAGTCATTGAAGGAATTAGGTATTTTCTAAAATATAATGGTCCTTACCCTGCCATCTGTTCCATGACGAGTTACTAGGGAGTGGGAATTCAGTGTACTATAGCATAGCCTGACATGCTCATAACTATGCCGGTGTATATTCTTAATAGACTTTTATCCACTTAGAGCCAATGAATTTGATGATCTGATGGAAGAGATGATTTTTTATTTAATTTTGTTGACTTATTTGATCAGAGGCATAAAAATGATCCAATATCTCACCATTTTAAGGATCGAGTTAACGCCTTTATATCTTTACACACACACACACACACACACACACACACACACACACACACACACACACACACACACACACACACACACACACCCGTATGTTTGTATTAATCATTATAATGACTGATATCTCGAGGGGCTCCTATACTCTCGAACTCTGGAGACAGACACCAAACCTCGCTACAAGACATTCCACTCTTAAAATGTTCCACAGGCATTCCGAGAGAGAAACACATCAATCTCAAAATTCCTATAATTTTTCCGGTGCCTGCAGACAAAACCTATATTTTTTTTAAGAATGTGAAAAATAAAATTAGTAAGTGCATCAACACGAACAGGTAAATATATTTGCAGATATAGTCCAGAGATTAGAGGATCGAACGGAGGACCAAAATGTCATTACTAGAAGTTATTAATAAGACAAAAATAAAAAAAATACTTCTAACTTGGTAGCTTACTTGGAGATGAGATTGAAATCAATATTAAAACGGAAGTTTTTAAGTTATATCTGAATATAAAGAATTTGGCATTCAGTAAAATATTTTTCAAGTCAAATACTGGAAACTGATTCTTCTAATGTTTGTACAGATTGATTCTAAGAATAATTCTACGACATATTTTTGTAGTTTCTGGGCTTCAGATTTTGGCCCAAATTGCTTATTTGTTTGGATCATCTTGGTTTCAAGCAATCAACACATCTATTCGTATTACCATTTGTAATAATACAAATTCATTTCAGTAGATTTGATTAAATAAACAGTTAATGCTTCTAATTTAGAGAAATAAAAATCCATAAAATTTTTCTCTATTAAAAATCATTACATGCAAAGAATCTTGATTAAATCCTGGTTGAACAGGAAAGACATAAATACATTGAAACAAAAGCAAGTGATAGACGTAGTAGTTTGATATTTAATAAAATGTAGCCGATTTAATTTGAAAGTATTCGATCATTCATAGGATTATTCATCGGAATAGCGTGTGCCAAAAAGCGAGTGAGGCTGTGTAGATATATACGTCATTATAATTATACATACATATATGTACGTACATACATACAAGCACGCAGACATATACACGAATTACTGTAACTGCGTTTTATAAGTATAATGTACATGTGTGTGCACGTGGTAATCGATCTTCCTCCATTTTTAAAACTGATTAAATCAGATGAAAAGCCAAAAAGAAACGCCGACTTTTGATTTTGTCTACATAATCGGGGAAATGGATCAACATCATATGCAAATAAATGTATATATCATGCAAATAAATATATATATCATGCAATATAGTTGAACGTATATTGATAAATAAATATAATGATTATAATAATTATAATGATATATATATATATATATATATATATATATATATATATATATATATATATATATATATATATATATATATATATAATGTGTGAGTTCTGCAAATATGTAGAATGGAAATTAATTAAAACTGCATATATTTTGCCAAATCTGTGTACATTTGCTAACATTTTGCACCCATTAAGTACTAAAAGACATTTTGCAAAGTTTTGCATTTTATAATAAAAAAAAAAAGAGTGTAATAAATATCTTTCTCATTGTATTATGATAATCATCTTTCTCGTCAATAAGTCACTCCCCAGAGAGGCACTTATTCCATCCAGTCTATTTGGGAAATTTATTTATTTATATATATATATATATATAATATATATATATATATTAATATATATATATATATATTGGGGCTGATATCCTTTGCCCAGGGACGCCCCAGAAAATCTGTATATGAGCATGTGTGTAGAGATTGCTCGGAGTAAGATGGATTTAAGGGCAAGTAGCTGCCGGTGTAAGTGGTTTATGTTGGCATTTACAAACATTAAATTGAAAATGAAAAGAGTCTGTGTACGAATCAACATAGTTAAGTGTTGGCGAATGGATGCAATGATGAACTTAAGCATATCTCATCGTAAAGAAAGAAAGAAACGGATTTCAAAGGAAAACATAAGTTAAAAAGAAAAAGATTATTTGAGGAAGACTAAAAGAAAGAAACGTTAAATTAAAAAAAAAATCCAACAAAAGCGCGGAAAACGAAAAACAACGAAAGAAAAAAAGCAAATAATAGAAAAAACAAAATAAAATGAACACTCAATGGAAAAAAATCGTAGCGAACTCTCTTTGCCACAGGGCAGCCATTTTGTATTTGTGTCCATATGACCCTTTCCCATTTGAGCAACAACAATGTAATTAACCCTTTATTGGTGACATCGTCGAACGTCCTTCACATTTTGGTAAGAACGGGTGGGTTTGTGGGCATGAGGATCCACGCAAGCTTCTTTCCTTCATCAGTGAATCGGGACTGACGCATAAAGGCAACGAAAAACCTGCAAAGGAGGAGGAGAAGGGTTGAAATGAAATGCGACGCGTAGGGAAAGGGAATCGGAGGGATGGGGAAGGTAATTTGGAGGTGTGGGTAAAAGGGTGCGGACACTTGCAGCGCCTGTGAAGTCGTTTGGATGCGACGGGGTGTCGCCTCAAAGTTTCAGCATCTGTTTGATGCTTTCCTTCGCTCGTTCTTACGATTTGGGAGGAAAAAGAAGAGACGGAAAAAAGGGTGGGTTAGGCAGGCTGGGGTAGTAGGTCTAAATGGCTATAGGAAGAGTAGGATTACTGAATGGCGAGTTGGGGGGGGGGAATAGAGATAAAAATGTAAAGAAAGAAAGAAACTGAAAAGCTTAATACAAAGAAGAGAAACGAAAACAATGCAATGAAATGGAAGCAGTTAAAATGAAAGAAAGAAAGAAAGAAAGAAAGAAAGAAAGAAAGAAAGAAAGAAAGAAAGAAAGAAAGAGGAAATGGAGAAAAATGAAGAGAAATGAAAGTAGGTAAACCTAATGATGAAAACTAAAAATGGCTACCTTCATTCACTGCTTGGAGCACAGCAGGCACTAGATGTGTAACACGTGACACAGTTTGGGCTGGTAAGAAGACAAAGGCGTCAATTTTTAAGGTTTTCGCCGTCTGCTGAAGAGTTCATGAGCGAGGAGGCTCGCCACGGCAATGATCGTACCACCATTTACTTTCTGATGCTTCCTTTGGCGCCGAAGGAGTCGTTTTTCTCTGGTGAATATTACTAACGGCTGGAATTAGTCAATTCAGTCGGATCTTGAATAGTACTGGAAGTAACAGTGAATCCACAAAAAGGGATTGATGGCACTTTTATTGCTTTCTACTGGTTTCATGGCCTGTGCGCGTAGTGTAACGGTTCATGGCCTGTGCACGTAGTGTAACGGTTCATGGAGTGTATATGTAGTGTAACGGTTCATGGAGTGTGCACGTAGTGTAACGGTTCATGGAGTGTGCACGTAGAGTAATGTTTCAATGTGTGTGCATGTAGTGTAAAATTTCATGGTCTGTGCACGTAGTGTAACGCTTAGCGATTTGGAAAGAAATCAGCGAGCTATTTTCTCACAAATACCCTTGGCAACGGAATGAATCCATCTCTTCTCCTCCAGCTATGGATTAAATAGCAAAGCAGACTGAACTCTATAGGCAATCAGATCTATCAGAAGGACAATTGTGAATTTTAGCAAGCTGAAGATTTTTTTTTCTTCAAATAAGCATGTGCAATGAACGTATCATCTCGATTATACTAGCAAAACGTGCAACTCATGTTTAACAAGTTTTTCACATAATCCTAGTGATCATAAACACGTTGAGTTTTGTATACATTGGTGTATGTCACATTGAGATTTATATCGAGCTATATCCAATCTTAAATTATCAATTCGTTCTTAATTTCTTTCAGTCACGACTTTCAACTACAATTAATACGACTACCATTGTCATTAGTCTTTATCTTTTTTTTTTATTACAAATGACTTGAGGAATCACTGAGATAATGTTTTAGAGTTCAAAATACCTCAGAAAGTTTATACCTCATTCTTAGGTTTCCGTTGTTTAATCAAACCCGGATGCGCAGGTAGTGTAACGGTTAGCGACTCGGAACCGAGTTCGAATTTCGGTCGAATTCGTGACAGTCACTTTCGCGCAAACACCTGCGAAAAAAGTATGAACCCATCACTTCTTTCATGTATGGATTAAATCGGTTTGTAGTCCTGACGAGGGGCACACTATACAGGCATTAGTAAAAGATTATTGACTTCACAATTAACTGCTGTACAGGGACGTGAACTTTATGATCTCAACTGAAGATGAATAAAAATTAAATGAGGTTTATTCAAATATAGCACACCGATACCATTCAAGAACGAACAAAAGTAAAAACCAATATTTTATTTTTATTTACGAAAGCGGAAACAAAACTTGTCAATTAAAATCGATAAAAATTATAACTTTTTAATGCGGAAAATTGTGATTAAAAACATTTAAGATTTTTCTGTTGCTTCGCGTTAACATATTCAAGGTGAATGAAGGATGTCAATTATCTCCTGTTAATTCCCCTCTCAAAGTTCTCCACCTCTTTAACCAGGTATTGAACTCAACAAGTAAAAATCCCCATAGAGGAGAACATGACTAAAACTGTGTGTACTCTATCCTGTGCAGCTGCGGAAAGAAATATAAAGGGGAGACAGGCCGCCCCCTCAAGGTAAGGCTTCAAGAACACCAGAAAGCTGTAACACGAGGGGAAGTGGAACAATCAGGCGTGGCTGACCATATATGAGAGAGAAGGGAGATCACCGCCCTCTGTGGGATCAGGTTGAGATCATAAACAAAGAAAATCATTGGAAAATTCGTAAACTTAAGGAATCAGCACATATGCTAGGCCACAAAAATCTCCTGAGCCGACCAAGCATAGAAATGAATACAATATGGGAACCAGTAATAAGGAGTGCCAGAGAAAAGCGATAATAACAATGAAAATTGCAATATGAGCTCTGGTAAAAAAAAAAAATGCAATGATAACAGCAAAAATTGCAATATGAGCACTGGTAAAATAGGTTCCTGAAGACATTAGGTTTATAATATCCAGAAATTCATCCACATATGTCCTTAGGGGCACATGGCACAGTGGATAACGGCGTTAGATCCAGTGACAGGACCCAAAGAGTGTAATACCTGGTTAAGGCAGTGGAGAACTTTGAGAGGGGAATTAACAGGAGATAACTGACATCCATTAGACATGGCACGTGGAACTAGAATAGTCTACCCCAGTGAGCGAAATAAAGGGTTCAGTTCGACATTCCTACCACCTGAAGAAACGTTGAGATAAACATGGCGACAAAGATGAGGACAATAGTCCGAATAATGTAAATAATGTACATGATACCTCATCTCAGAAATATTGACAGATACTGAAGTTGCAATGCGGTGATTTTGATGCTTTTAGAAGATCCTATTAAAGAATAAATAACGTTCTTCAAAAATCATCGCCTGATCAGATGTCGAGTTTTTCGATAATTAAATTTAATTGGGTTTATTCATTGCAGTGAATGAAATAGAGATTTTAGAATACAAGATGAAAAATGCAATTAAGAAAAATAAAAGAAAAATCGAAAAATAATTCTATTTTTTATCTCTCTTTTGCTTTCTTTCTCGCGTTCTGTTTTTCTAGCTTTCAAATTACTCATTCCTCTCAAATTTCTCACTTTCTCTGTAATTAAAACAAAAATTTGATTTCCTCAAAAAATATTACTTAGAATATTCATGAATAGATTATAGGTACCACCAAAAAAAAAGCGAAACCTAAGGTTTAAAATGAATTTTTAAAAATGAAAAATCTTTTTTGAAGCTTTTATTTTAGTTTTAATTTCAAGCTAATTGATTAAATTTAATATTTCGAATAGGCAAAATACTTTGATTTACTTTAAAACGAATTTAAATTGATTGGAATGTTTGTATTTTTAAATCACTAACAATGACTAATTTTAACCATATTTAAAATTCGCTCGGCCCAAAGTAATTCTCTTAATTAAAAATAACTTTAAAAAATAAAATATACTCTTCTGAAACTTTATTTGAGGAAGATTACCTTATTTAACGTTGAATAAATCTGATTTTAAACAAATATTACTTTTAGTTTAAATTATTGCAGAAAAGCATTTTTTAACAGGCAGGTGGATGTTTTTATGGACATCCGTAGCTAGAAACACACGTTTATACACAGATAAATAAATTCAAAATTATTTTTTAAATATTAGGGGATCTCTGAATTGTAATCAACCTTTCCATTTATGATTAGTAAATATAGATTTTATTTAATAACAATATCACTTGACCGCTACAAATTAATAGAGAATTTTGAATGATTTAACACTTTATAAATTATTCGAATTAAAATTTAAAAAGAAATGATAATTGGGGATTCCGTTTTACAAAAAAGATTGATTGTTTAAGATGCAAAAACAAATATTTTTACCAAAATTTTTGCAAGAATTTCCAAATGTTTTTTCACCACAAAAAGACGCTAAAATTTCCTTTATTAATTTATGGTTATCCGCTTACTCAGAAAAAAAAATAACCAAAATTTTTAAAGTACTGAAAAGGAGTAAATATATAATTTAATAATAAAAATCCTTTGGTCTTTCCTCTTAATAACAAACATTCGACGATAAAACTTTGTTTTTATTAAATTTGGGGCATTTTTTCATGTATGTTCATTTTTAACAAATCTTTGGAGGTACCTAGATTAATACTTTCTTTAATCGAATTCACCCCATGCCAGGTTATAAAGCCTCTAAGACACAAGGAGTTACTGGGTGTAAAATAATTAGAAAACAAAAACATTATTCAGGCGCGAGAACAATAATAATTACCATGAAAGTATTTATAGAAAAGACAGAGGGAAGCAATTTTACGTCGGTGGGAAAGTGACTGGAGCCGAGACACCAGGTCAGGACCAATAATATTGCTGATTCTTCTTTGGATTCTAAATTGCTCCTTTACCCATGCAATATATTGCTTAGATATAAACAGATATATATATATATATATATATATATATATATATATATATATATATATATATATATATATAGAGAGAGAGAGAGAGAGAGAGAGAGAGAGAGAGATTGAATATGACAATACCACAATTTTATATTTTATTATTTATGTCTATGAAACGAAAATGGAAGATAAAAATAATTCACAAGTTTCTACACCAGCCTCCAGTAAAACAGTGTTTCTTTGAAGAGGCAACCTATTTGATCGGTGGTAGCTAATGATGAACTACTTTAGGTGAAGGAGATGAGCCATGCACCTTCAACTAATTTAGTATGTTTGAAGGAACAGGGAATTGAAGCTAAGACATAAGTGTTTCTAAAATGGCTTGCATGTAGTTTGTGCTTAATTCACATGTTACAGAAATTAAATCCAAACAACGGAGTATTTGTATTCTTCCGGGTCGCGGTCTCCATAGGCATCAATTGGCTGACTAACACGACACTTGTGAAAAGCTGGAAAAAATTTATCGAGGATGAAAGAGAAAACAACAAAAATAAAAATGATTTGATCCTGTCAGTTGCAAGTTGTTAGAAGATGATACTAGTTTAGGTAACAATCTACGCATCTACAAATTTATCTATGATCTGCTTGCTGGGTGAGGTAGTTAGGTGTTTCTAACTGAAAACAGAAATCTATTATCAGATCTCGGTAAAAATTCAGATTTCGAATGCTGACTTTCATGACATTTAAACCTTTCACTTTTGGGAAGATTATCGCAATCCTATGTCCTTTCTTTTTATGTGTCTTTCTGCAAGATATGCCGAATTAATATCTTTCTGTGTGTCTATCTATATGTGCGTGTATAAAGAGAGATATAAAACAAGTTCGTGTGTACGTATTTTTGTGATATACACATGTGTATGTTTTATGAATGTCTCTATTCTACTCTCCATACTCGGTGAACGAGACAATAAAATTAAGACATTATTTAATTAGAAAACCTTTTATTTGCTTAAAGGCAATGTATGAAATATATTATGGACACTATTGTCTTAATAAAAAAAAAAAACTTTTTCAATGAATAATGAATTTTTACAAGAATGGTTTTCATTTTTTTTTTAAATATAATAATTCATTAACTTTAAATCTTTTAATATTCTGTATTAATTTGTAGCTGTCAAATTAAGACTGTATTTACTAATAATAAATAGAAAAGCTTACTCCAATTTAACGATCCCCAATATTTTATTTTATGTATTTATAAAGGTGTCCAAACGAACCCTTATCAGAAAATAATAGTGGTAAATGCATTTCTGTGATATTTTAAACTAAAAATAAGTAATGTTTTAAATCAGATTAATTTAAAT